CTGCCTCTCTCTCTGCCTCTCCCTCACTCATGCTCTGTCTCTCTGTCTCAAAAATAAATAAACATTAAAAAAAAAGTTAAAATCGGAGTGAAGCAGAATGGACAATCAAAAAGCATACAAATGTTTTAATATTTTAGTAGCTAATTTATGTTTGCATATTCATTTATTCAGTAAACATCTAGTGAGCCCCTGCTATCTGCCAGTTACTGTACTATGATGAATCAAGTATAATTGAGACACAGTCTGTATGTACAGTCTAATTTGGGAAATGTAGAGCACGGGTGTTGGAGTCAGACCTGTGATTAAAAATGGTTTTACTTATTTGTGAAATGTTCTAGAGAAAGAGGATGTAACAAGTACTTAATAAATATTATCTATTGGTATAAAATGTGGCAAGAGCTATAGAAGATGGTGTAATGGGAATGTAATGGAAGAAGCAACTGGGAGGGGGTAGGAACAGATCTGCTGGTTTACTAAATACTAGAGGAAGCTGGTATTGCCTCCACCTAACCAGTTTACTGTCCAATAGACAGCACAGGTATGGAAATGTTCTCTGCCTATGTTGTCTAATGTGGTAGCCACTGGCTATATGCAGTTACTGAGCATTTGAAATATAGCCAATGTAACCCAAAAACTGAATTCTAAATTTTACTTAAAGTTAAATGGCCACATGTAGCTAGTAAGCAACCTTACTGGACAGTGCGGGTCTATATAAGAAGAGTAATATACAAGTCAAAAAATAATGGTTTCTATTTGGAACATTATCTGGAAACTATCCCGATAGTTAACATCAGTTATTTGTTTCACCCGACTCCATTCTCCCTAAGTGTTTCCAAATTCACTTATTGTTTTGCAGTCCTCTGTTGTGATTGAGTCAAACTCACACCTATGCTGCTGCAAAGACCAAATGGGTTGGAGTGATACAAATAGGTAATTGCTGGCTGAAAGAGTCTCTGGGCAACTGGTGCTTTAAAAAAATAAAGATTGGAGTTTTGTCAAAACAGTAAAAATATTGGCTTGTCTATTAGCTTCAGTTCCTCTCTTATACACACCTCCTCAGGTTGTATTGGCTCTTTGAACTTGGTTTCTTTTTCAAATGTACCCTTGATTTTCAATTAAATAAAAATGTCAAGGCGGGGGCAGAGCCACAAAACATAGGTTACCACCCTGTACTATGGTAGAAAAAAAAAAAAAGGCAACAAAAACCTTGAGATAAGCTTTCTGAATATAATCATTGTTGGAAGGATTTTGAGTAAGAAAACAGGTAAAGGTAGTCACAGATTAAAGCAGCAGCAGGGAAGGGGATAAAAAAATGGGAATCTAAGTTCCTAGGCCATTCTAGAACACAAAGTCTCTCTTCTGGGGATCTGTGTTCTAGATCAGAGGAGTCATGTGCAGCCACTGGCCATCTGGTACACATTTCCACAGGCTGTCAGGTAATATCTGATTTATGTAAAGTTAAAAAAAAAAAAGGTTTTTGGAGAATTCTGAATTTTTTTTTACCGGTTTACCTGGGATATAGTAATCTAAAATGCTGGCCTGAGAAAACCTAATCTCCCCCTGGTTATTTAACAGCTGCACTTGAGTAGAGGACAGCTGGAGCTGAGATGGTGTGAGACACTATTCATTGTGGCCTAAAAGGCTTACACATCTGTCATCCATTGAAGGATTCGAGTCCGACTCAGAAGTCAGCTCATCTGTTCCACTTGATAGGTAGTAGACTTAATGATCTAGGGTAAAGAATCCTCTGGTTGGTCTTTTTCTATCCAGGGTTACACATACAGACAGAGTTTAAGTACTTTTTCCCTTAGAGACTTTTAAAACTTTAAAAACTTTACTTCATTTGTTAACCTTCTAGCTAAACTATTGAAGCCATTGCCAAAAACTTTAATTAAAAAATTCATCAAATAAGAAAAATGTATATCATTTAGTTCCAAATTATGATCAGTTACAAGAGAGAAAAGTTAGGGAACTGGAGGGAGGTAAAGGAAGAGGTCAGGAAGAAAAAGACAAAAGCAAAATGGTAATCAAAATAAATGCTCATTCCTGTAGTTTGCAAATGAATGATGTTTTTATCATAGGCCTTTCATATTTCAATTGCTGAATAACTACTGTTCATATTTCAGTCATTCTTCTAAGCAGGGGGTGCTGGCTCTCCAGATAATAACCATGGCAGCCAACCAAAAGGGAGCCACTGCTGTGGAGCTGAACTAGATAGCAGTGGTCAGAGAGCACTTTGAGGGTTGGAAGAAATCCAGTCTAGGAGTAGATCCAACCCTGGCCAGAGGTTTTCTCCTTATGACATAAGGATATCAGTGGCAGCTGCTGGCTGATGATTTTCTACTAGATTGGTTGTCATTTTCTCTCTTCAGAAGCAACATTTCATTTTTCTTGAGAAGAGGAATTTCTTCTATTAAGGAGTTTGACTAAGGTGACCTACTTCTGTCTTTACCAAGCAGGCTAGTGAAAAGCAGCTTTAAATGGCTCTTCACTGGGGGTGTCTGTGTTTCTTTCACAGAGATTGAGACAATGAAATTGGCGCGTTCTGTCTTCAGCAAACTACATGAGATTTGCTGCAGCTGGGTGAAAGACTTCCCTCTCCGCAGGAGACCCCAGCTTTATTATGAAACATCAATCCATGCCATCAAAAACATGCGCAGGAAAATGGAAGACAAACATGTCTGCATTCCTGACTTTAATATGCTCTTCAATTTAGAGGTAAAGGGCACTTCTCAAGAATCCATGAGATTTAAAAAACAAAACAAACACCTTCATGGTCCTATTTTCTGATAGTATCTCTGATGGGTTGGAGGACTAAAGGCAGAGTGGCACAAATTTGCTTGCATTAGACAACAGAAAAGTAACTATTTTATGTTATTTTGGGGGTTTTGTTTTATTTAAAGTACGCTTTACGCTCAATGTAAACCCCAGATCAAGAGTCGCATACTCCACTGACTGAATCAGCTAGATGCCCCTATTTTATGTTATTTTGAATAAATAATATATCCGCATGGTTCAGAATTGGAAAAAAAAAAATCTCTTATCCTTGTCTCACAGACACTGCTCTTCCACGAAGACAAGAGAAGTACCAAATTTTTGTGTAAACTTTCAGAGTTATTCTATAAACATATAAGCAAAAAGAAAAACTGTCATACCTCAAAAAAGCTGTTGATTAAGTTCCCACATTACTGTGTTGTTGAAGCAACATAAAACACAAACATAAAAGAATGTGAGACTGAGACCGTTTTCTGATTTCATGTGATTTTCTTTTTAAAATCTTGGTTTCTGATACAGGAAAGTAGCTGGAATTACATTTCGTGAATCTCTGTGACTGACAAATTGGATCATATGAGCCTTGTCAGCTTAATAACCATTTTCTTGTTATCTTCCTCTTCTTTTTCTATTAAATGTGTTAGGTTAGTGCAAACAGAGGTAGGTTTGTTTCCTTTGCCTGTCACTTGCCTCTTTTCTTCACTCAAGTCCATAACTTAAAAATTACAATGTAGTAATTTATACAAAGCACAATATTTCCTTCATTTGGCAGCTAAATTTAAATTTTAGCTGACTGTCAGGGTCTGCTAAGCAGTGATAGTAGGTTGATAATTGGTGCTTATGTTACAAAGATAGATCAGCTTTGTTTCCAAATATCTTTAGACTATCTGGATATCTCTGTTTCCAAATGTTACCATGCCTGTGCAAATATAACCTAAAAAGCTATATTGTATGATAAACAACCCTTCTATCACTATACCCATTTGAAGATTATACTCAGGTTTGAGGGCATTATTGTTTTTTTTCTGATCTGGTTGGTTTTCATTTTGCCTCAAAAGCAGCTCATATATATGTGATATATTTGCCTCAAAAGCAGCACATATATATGATTGGTTATCTGTGAATGGTGAGATAATACAGATTTCTTTCTTTCTTTGTACTTCTTTATTAGTCCCAATAAACAATACATCATCTTTATACCAGGGGAAACACTATTTTTTAATTAAAAATTTTTTGGGGCGCCTGGGTGGCACAGTCGGTTAAGCGTCTGACTTCAGCCAGGTCACGATCTCGCGGTCCGTGAGTTCGAGCCCCGCGTCGGGCTCTGGGCTGATGGCTCAGAGCCTGGAGCCTGTTTCCGATTCTGTGTCTCCCTCTCTCTCTGCCCCTCCCCCGTTCATGCTCTGTCTCTCTCTGTCCCAAAAATAAATAAACGTTGAAAAAAAAATTTTTTTTAAAAATAAAAATTTTTTAATTAAAAATTTTTTAATTTAAAGATTTTAAGATTTTAATCTTTAATCTTTAATTTAAAGATTTTAAATTAAAATTTTTTTAAAAAATTAAAAATTAAATTTAAATTAAAAAATTTAAAACTAATTTTTTAAAGAGATCCACTTGGCTCTCTTCTGTTTCTTCAGATGCTATATTGAATCTCCCCACTATGGCACGTGGATGGCTCAGTCAGTTAAGCGTCTGACTCTTCATTTGGGCTCAGGTCATGATCTCACAGTTTCATGAGTTTAAGCCCTGCGTTGGGCTCCACGCTGATAGTGTGGAGTCTGCTTGGGAGTCTCTCTCTCCTTCTGCCCCTCTTCCACTTGCGCTCTTTCAGTCTCTCAAAATAAATAAACTCAAAAAATAAATCTCCCACCAATCACACACTAAAGTTCTATTCTCATGTCCTCATAAAAGTATTCTTGTCCCCTCCCTCTTTGTGATGACCCCACATCAGCTCACTCATTTAAAAACTGCTTGTAAAAGCTGTTTTTCAGTTTTACCCTTATCCTGCCAACTGAGTTGTTTATAAGTACTGCTTTAGTACATGTCATTTAGTACATTTAGTACATGTCAGTCAATACTTTTCTGAAGATAGTTCTGTTTAATCAGTTAATCTTCAATGGCATTGTAGATGGTACTTATTAAACTATTAACTGGTTGTAATGTCTGTATTAGATATTGATATCATAATATTTGGGTGTTTTTATTTATATTTGGTGCTTTTGTAAATGTAGTATGTACTTTAAAAACAACTTTTCTTTCTTTCTTTCTTTCTTTCTTTCTTTTTTTTTTTTAAAGATTTTAAGTAATCTCTACATCTAACATGGGGCTTGAACTCACAACCCCAACATCAAGAGTTGCATGCTCCTGTGACTGAGCCAGCCAGGTTTCCCTAAAAAGAATTTTTTCAAAGCACAGACATATCTGTTGTTTTAGTAGTTCTTCCAAATCCCCATGAGACAGCAACTCATCCTTACTTAAAATAGATGAGAAAATAAGCCCAAGAAAATTAGATGGTTTACTTTGTATATTTGATTTCCTTTGAATGACAGGGCCTAGACTCATCTGAGCTCCTGATCCCAAGGATGAAGTCAAAGTTTGCAAAAGAAAATGATTACATACTGTTGCCTAAAGGGAGTCCAGGACTCAAGTGAGAGTTCAGGGGGTTAGAAATCTCCTTAGTAAGCTAGATCAGAGATGTGAACACTGCTGTTGAAGAAGCAAACTACTTAATGTTTAAATGTAATATTGTGATTAGTCTTCCTTTGTCAACACAAAGCACAGGTTTGGAAGACCCTCCTCTGGCAGTTGCCTTTATGCTTCAAGCAGTGGGTGAGCCAGGAAGTGCGAGGCTCAATCTTGGATTAGAGGACAAGGCATAATGGTTACAGGACATTTGGACATCTAATATGGTTCAAGTTTGGCTAACCAGTTTAGAGACTGTGTTATATATGGTGGGTATTCAGTGTGACTGAATGATTTATGAAGAAGATATTATAGTTAAGAAGTATGTGTATACTTTCATTATCTCTGTATTTTAAACAACCTAACATAATTGGCCCTGTGCTGAAGGCCAATTATTTTCTATTGTTCTCGGTTTCTAATTTTATAAGAATACTTTCATTTTGAGAAAAATGCTCAGTCCAGAACAGCTTTTGCTCAATTCGTCCTTATACCTTCTCTTTCCTCCCCCTTCCCACAACTTGTAACAGCAGTTTTGAAGCAACTGTACGTGGGTGGTTTCCATGGTATAAGACAACAACTTTCACAAAGAGGGTGCTTCAGCCTGAGCTAATTGGCCATGATGTGTTCCAGTGTTATGTGTATAAACACAGATGCCCTCATATTGCAGGTATTTTAGCAGCTGATCATGCATGTCAAAAAAGGGAAGCATTTAGTCTCATTATCTGGGTGACAAGTGTAGTAGAGGAGGACAATGGGCACCAGTTCAGGGGATTGGTTCACTTGAGTCACACTGTACCTAACTCACTTAACTGTTTCTGTTTTTCTTATTGACAGGACCAGGAAGAACAAGCTTACTTTGCAGTGTTTGATGGCCATGGAGGAGTGGATGCTGCCATTTATGCCTCCATTCACCTGCATGTTAATTTAGTACGCCAGGAAATGTTCCCCCATGATCCTGCTGAGGCCCTGTGCCGGGCCTTCCGGGTTACTGATGAGCGGTTTGTGCAGAAAGCAGCCAGGGAGGTATGCCTTTTTCTCATAAATTCCAGCCATGAATGCACTGGCTGAGCTCAGCTTGGTCTGTGGTTCAAGGGCTACTTTGGATTTTGTCTTTTTGGGCAGGCATTATTTAAAGTTCTCTTTCAAACTGTATTCTTGACCCACAGTATTGGATTCTATAGTAGTTCTAATTCCCTCTTTAGGGCTTTAGGGGGTGATATGATGTACTGTAGAGAAACTCCGAAGCTATAGTTTTCCAGAAAGCCAGTCCATTGCTGGATTTGGCAGGTGAGTTTTCTCTTTCTTATTTACCAGCGCCTGTCAGGTTCACACTAGGACCATCTCTATAAGCAGACTTTTGCTGACAAGATCTGGGTATGGTGATTAAAACAATGGACTAAAAAGGAAACAGAAGCTAGATTACTCCCATACACTTGGTTCTAAATGGGTTGGCAGTGTTTTACTGTGTATCTCTTGAGGGAAAATTTGCTTGGAAAGAGTGAATCCTTAGATGATTCTTGAACTGATTTTCTCTTAATAGGAAGAAAAGTCAGAGCTCACGTCCTAATTTCTTAAGGTTAATCAGACCTAAGGTTTTTACTCTACATGAATGACAGCGGCTCTATATTAAGATCTAAAAGTAAAAATTTTAATCTAATTATCATTCGGGGCATTGGTATATGATTAACTACAGTACTCTATTCATTTCTAACTGGGGAACAATAGCCAGATAATAATTTTTAATTTTTAAAAGTAATTACAGAATTATACATACAGAAAATAAGACTCCTGCCCTATGAATTAAACATTAACTATTTTTGAAATGGACTTGGAAAGAGCAGGGTCACCATTTAATCCATTTTTTCGATCTCATTGTTATTGGTTTATAGCAATAGTGGTGCTTGGAATTAATGAGACTAATTCAGAACTATTTGGTATTAAGCAATGAAAATATTCTGTTATCTCTCCACCTGCATCCCAGGTTTAGATTAATATGCAAATCCAACAACAGGAACCACTAGGGTCTACATGTAGAGGTGGGGCAAGACAACAAAATACTTGTTGACCTCAGACCTTCTCAGAGGCTTTTGAGGGCTGGTGCTGCGTGGCTCTGCCTGCCTTGGAGCTGCTGGCTGTCCTCACTCTGAGGACAAGACTGGCCCCTGAGAGGTGATGTGTAATCACCAACGTGAAACTAAGAGACTTGCTTTGTCTTCTTCATCTTCTGTTTTAACCTTTTTCCTCTGTGCCCTCAAAATCAGGACTTTTCTGACCATGTTCACCTCATTTGCTTTGCCAGTGATCCTGATGTCTCTCAGTCTTGCCAACAGTTCTCTTGAATAATTTAGGTTTGTCTCAGCAGTTACTTTTCTCCTTCTTGTGCATCCATGTGCTGCTAACTGCTGGGAAGAAAGTAGCTATTCCTGTTGTGAAGCAGCCCTGCCTCCTGTTCTCTCCAGGGCATATGCACTGAAGTGTCTTTATCATGTGTTCCAGGGGGCTGAGTTTTTGAACACTCTGTGTGGGAAGGCATTTTATTGGTGGGTGAGGATTTATAACAAACTTTCCCTATATAGGGAAAATGAGAAGTTGTTTTTCTCATTGGATACAAGGGGCCTTTTACCATCCCTGACGCATTGGTTCTAATTTAGGCCAAGTCCTTGGTAACAGAAAGTCATGCTTATTTCGTGGTGACTCATGTCAAATTGGAGATGTCATTTTAGTATAGTAATATCAGGAGCATTAAGTACAGTGGTACTGAGCTATTGAGGTGAAATTCCAGGCTGTTCTTTATGCAGTGTTCCAAAAGCAAAGGCCCCTAAAATTATTATAGATTTTTTTTTTAAACTATAAGCAACTTAGCATGCCAGGAAACATGTATCTCTTGGCTCCTAGTTAATATTCAGAGTATGGGAGCATTTGTTGTATATTAATCAGATATTTTATATGTTTTGTGTAATCTAGGATCCTCCCTGTGAACATACATCAGTAACAAAATAGAGACCAGAATATGGAAATCTTTAAAGATTACTATAGTGGACTGACAACTGGACTAGGAGGAAAAAGAATTTCAGTTGTTTTGTGTACTAATGAATTACCTGGCCTTGGAAAATCACATAACCTGCCATAGTTTTTCTTACCTATACATGAAATGAAATGAAATGAAATGATCATCCCTGCCTTGCATATCACAGTTTGCATCTATGTGTGTGGACATGCACATAAAAATGCATTGAAAAATAGGAATTACTATTTATTGTGAAATCAAGTTATTAATAATCTAGCCCCCAACTAAAAGTTTATATTAACTATAAACTGCTTCTCAATGAGAATTTGATTTCTATTTATTTTTTACTGACTCGTTTTATTTAAATTATTTTCAGAGCTTAAGATGTGGGACCACAGGAGTGGTGACTTTTATCAGAGGTAACATGCTCCATGTGGCCTGGGTTGGGGATTCCCAGGTTATGCTTGTGAGAAAAGGCCAAGCTGTTGAACTAATGAAGCCACACAAACCGGACAGGGAGGTAAGTGTGCTCTGTTAGAGCACATGCCACAGAGGCAGTTTTCTAGTTACTAAGATTCATTTGATTATTATAATTACCATGACTCGCTGAGCAACCATGTCCACTTTACAAAGGAGTAATAAAGAGAACCTCTCCAGGAAGCTGATGAATATTATATCTCTTGTTTACTATGTAAGGTAGAAAAATAAATCCTGAATCCAATTATTTGCTTCTGTCTATTGCATTGCTGTTTAGGATGAAAAGCAGCGAATTGAGGCTCTTGGAGGTTGTGTAGTCTGGTTTGGTGCCTGGAGGGTGAATGGAAGTCTGTCGGTCTCCAGAGCTATTGGTAGGAAAAACCAATTAATTTTTGTTTCTCCAAACTGTCCTCTTCCAGATCATTGTCTTATATTAACTCCATATTATATTAACTACAATAAGAAAACCTGAGATGGTAATTTATATTATCAGACTGGTTATTATTATTTAAAATAATGATTGGATAATGCCTCTTAATTATTTGATTTAATCAACCATTTCATCCATATGCTTAAATACCATTATTAAAAGGGAACTATGTTAAATGCAGAACTTCTTAGTTTCTATCCTTTTTTTCTTTTTTTTTTGAATGGAAGCCCTTAATCTTTGGGACACAAATTTGCTTAAAACCATAGTGATCCTCATTTCATTCCATTTTGGATCATATTTAGCTTGACTCAGTATTTTCAAGAGAACAGGAAGGCTTCCCTCTCTATATTTTACCTTTCTTATGTCTTTACTTGTTTTTCATTGAATTATAAAATGACATCAACATTGTACTTTTTAGATGAAAACAATTTTCTTTATGTGGAATATACTGATTTGCCAGGTAACCCTGGGTTTTAAAGAATCTGGCTCCCTGGTACATAAGTTCTTCAGAAGGGGAAGTCAATGAAACTATCTAAAACTTAGAGAGTAAACAGCTAAGCTTATTGGACGGAATGACAAAATGCAAGGGCGTAAGTTCAAAGATAGTCCTGTTTCTATTTTTGTTTTACTTTGGCACCTGGGTTTATTATATTTTAGGCTTCATGTCTTAGCTTCATTTTCTGGTTTTAAGAATTTTTTTTTTTTTAACATTTATTTATTTTTGAGACAGAGCATGAACGGGGGAGGGGCAGAGAGAGAGGGAGACACAGAATTCGAAGCAGGCTCCAGGCTCTGAGCCGTCAGACCAGAGCCCAACGCGGGGCTCGAACTCACGGACCATGAGATTGTGACCTGAGCTGAAGTTGGACGCTCAACCGACTGAGCCACCCAGGCGCCCCTCTGGTTTTTTAAAAAGAATAAATTTGTGTGTATCTTTATAGGTGATATGCATGCATACTGCAGTTCTTAGACCCTGCTCCTAAAGAAAAAATGAAGTGATTTGACATAGGGATAAAATGGATAAACGGCATTCACATCCAACCCCCCAATTTTGCTTATCATTACCAAAACATTCTAGAACATTAACAAAATCTCAAAGGATTGATTCAGTTTCACCAGTGATGTGAGTTCCTCCCACTCTTTGGGAAGGTGCTGGCAAGCTGTGAAGTGGCCCAAATGTGAGCAGCAGAAGGCTGAGACAGAAAGTGAAAACTGAAAGATCCTGCAAGTGCTTCTGAAAAAATAAGAGTTAGTTTTATCTTAGACTGAGAGAGTTATTAGGAGCTCTGGAATAAGACCACCGAGGAGAAACTTCTCATTACTAAAACACACCCTCATGTAAAATTACTTCTGACAGTTCCTCTTGATCTTACTGTCTTTGTCACAGTAGTGAAACGTATCTTTCATACTGGTAATAGAACCAACTTTACTAGAGAATACTTGCCTTTTCTTGCTTCTAAAATATAGCACAAGGAGAAACCAAAAGCAAGGGAAGACTGTCCTTGAATAAGAGACAGTCTAAGAGAGAATAAGGCAAACTTCATAGACGAAGTGACTTTTAGGTTGGATGTGGAGGACAGTGTGTAGGGGAGGAAATTCCAGGGGTAGGGGCATACAAATACGTGGGCGCCTGAAAGGGCATGCCATGTTTTAGGAACAGCAGCACATACAAGAGACTAGGGCAGAGGGTGGGCGTGGTAAAAGTAAGTGTTGCTGCCAGATTGTGAAGGGGTTTATATGCCAGGCTAAGTAGTCTAGACTCTCCCAGGTGAATAAGCATAGAGGCCACATGATCATTTATAATCCCTTATAAAGGTATTTGTTTGGGATGATGGTATAGAAGATGGACTAGAGTACAAAGACTAGATGGCATCTTTCAGGGGCTGTTGATACAGTTTGTTACAGCTATGAGGGCAGCTCAGAAAGGATACAGAGGAGGCAGAAATTGATTGGATGGAAGTGACAGTTTGTGGGGGTGGAGGAAAGCTGGCTTCCAGGGTTTTGACTTGTGTGACTGAGATGATAAAGCATCTGTAAAAAAGCAGCAGCAGTTTGTGGGGTGGGGAAAAGGGCGGGTAATGAGTTCATTTTGGACATATTTTATATTCTAGGTACCTTACCTGTGTGGTGTCTTAGAAGAGATAATTTATATGTAGTTGGAAATACAAACCTGAACTTAGCAGAGTTCGGAGTTGCAGATAGAAATGTGGGAACTCATCCCATTTTGGCAATAATATTAGCAGTCTGTGAAGTGATATTGTATATATTAGTTGACACTATAGGCATTGCCCAGGAAGAACATGTAGTGTGATGAGAGACCCAAGGATGAGACTCATTACTGAAGGTTCCTGCTCTCTAGGTTTGTATCTTGGCTCTGTCACTTTACAAGCTATGGGCCTTGGGAAATTAACTTCCTGGTGTCTGTTGTTCCTTTGTAAAGCAGGAATAGTAACAGTGACTGGCTCATGGAGTTTTTGTATTAAATAGTATAATACATGCACCATACTTAAAACCCTGCCTGGCAGAGTTTTAGCACAAAATGATCGTTAGTGCTGTTATTAAGTGAAAGAGCCAGTGAAGAAAATCAAGGAGGGATCAGAAATATACAAGTGGGCTACCACAGATACTAAGTAAGAGAATAGGGTTTCTAGGAGTTAAGTAGTCACAGGGTCAAGTGCTAGAGAGGTGAAGTGAGATGTGGGATAAAAAAAAAAAAGACATGGAATTCTGAAAATAGGAAATAATTGGTAATATAGGAGAGAAATGTTTTGGATTAGTAGGTGGGAAAAAAAAAAAACAAAATCAGAAGAGGGAGAATGAGCAACAACAAAAGAATGTGTGTAGATTTAGTTTCTTGGGCAAGTTAGTGGTAAAGGAAATAATGTGGTGGCTTGTGGGAAAAGCTGATTTGGGAAAGGGTTGTTTTTATTGTTTTTGTTTGTAGGATAAGGAGTTTAGATCAGATTTGTAGGATAAAAGATGAGAGCAAGTAGAAGAGAAACTGAAGATGAGACAGAAATGAGTCCTAGAGAGTCAGGTCCAAGAGCACAGGTTAGCTTTGAGAAGGAAAAGGAGACCTCTTACCTGAGACTGGTAACTCATAAGGTGAATCTATTCAAATTAAAATAAAAAGGGAGGGGGTAGGGGAAGGAATTGAGGGAATTCAGGTTTGATAAACTTCATTTTCTTTGAAGTAGGAAATCAGGCCCTCTACCAAAATCCAGTAGCTTAATTGGAAGAGAGAGGTGAAGAATGTGGGAAAGATTTGGAAAGCTCACAGAATAAAACAGGGGGCTAAATGGGGACAAGAAAAAGGGACTCCTGAGCTGAGTTCAACTCTACTTAGGAAATAAGGGACACTTTTAAAGCTTTAAAAATGAACAGCTTTCAACAGTTTCTCCTCCTGAGCCCTTCAGATTTATGATCCAAAGTTGACAGAGGCATGATGTTTCCTAGCACATGGAGAGAGGAGGTTGAAGATAAAAGGATGTTGCCATTTCTACCATGAAATGGATAATCACAAATTTGGGGGCGAAATGTCATGAATTTGACATCCAACAGTAGAGCAGGTGAAAAGCCAGAATTTTGGCAGCATTTTCTCTGTGCAAATCTTTTGTATGTTCTGTTCCAAACTAACAGTTGCAGTAGCCTTTTAATTGAAGCACTAAAACAAGATTTTTGGGAACAGTATGACTCAGATCACATTTATTTTTAGAGGTGGAATTCAGAAAATAATAATGATGATAATAATAGGTGGAATAGGGGATGGGGAAATTTAGTAAAGTGGATTGGTGGAGAACACTGAATCCTGTGATTGGAAGTTTTGATTAGCTTTCTCAGGCTACTGGGAGGCATCATAGTATAGAAGTGAAATTGAAGTTGATGGAATCAAAACCATGTTTGAGGGAAGATGGTTCTGGCTACTGTATGAAAAAGACTAGTTTCTTATCTTTTATCTGTTTTTCAAGGTATCCCATCACGAGACCTGCTGAGAGGGCATGTGGCCCACACTGGTCCTAGCGGTTATCGCTAGGGTTCCTACTGAGCTTTCTGGGCCTATGTGAGGATTAAACAGGGATGTGAAATGTTGGAGAGGACCTTACTTATAGGAGAGAACCTACAACAAATTATGAGAAAGAGTAATGACAGAGCCAGATCACTTAAGTATAATTTCATTTTACCATCCCCTAGTTACAAAGTCATTTTAGTACTTCATCAGTACCTAATGAGGGTTTGTAAGTAACAAAGGTAGGGTTGGGACCCAGGCAGTCTGACTCCACCAAGCTGTACTTTACAAATGATAAAATGTTTTGTAAATTTTAAAATTTTAACTGTTTCCTAATATAGCAGTTATTGCTAAATACTGTTTCCTATGTACAGTAGAAAATGAATATCCCTTGTTGTACTAATAAGCGATCCTGTGTTATACTTAATAGGCTAAGGACCCTTTGGCTAGGCTCTCTCCAAGTACCTAGAGGAAAACAATAAATATAGAGAGAATGGATCTGGAAGTGCTCTAGAGCTGAAAGATCCAATGTGCATTGTAGATGATTAATTTTCTCAGTAGTCTGGTGATAGACTGGAGACCATGAGCCCACATTAAGCTAAGTTTCTGTCTCCACTCCAAGCACTCCATATATAGCTATGCATCATTCCTTAACAGTTGTCTCTCTGTCTTTGTTAATGCTATTCCTTCAATCAAGGGCTCTTCTATGCCTGGTGATAACTAACTTCAAGGCCCAGTTCAAATGTCATTCTGTAAGTGGATGAACTATTAAATAAGAGAGAAATAATGGCCCAGTAGGGCTTTGGGGGCTCTCACAGTGTTCATAAGCAGAGAATGAACAATAGCAATAAAGGTGGTGGGGGGAGGGGGTTCGATCAAAGACAAATGAAGAAAGCAAAAATACGGTAGTCCCTGAAGATGAGAGAAATATGATTATGTTTTCCAGTTGTTCTCTAGAAGTTACAAGTAAAGCAGCTTTAAAAAGCAAAAAGTAGGGCATCTGGGTGGCTTAGTCGGTTAGGCAGTTATCTTCAGCTCAATGATCTCATGGTTCGTGGTTCGAGCCCTGCGTCGGGCTCTGTGCTGACAGCTCAGAGCCTGGAGCCTGTTTCAGATTCTGCGTCTCCGTCTCTCTCTGTCCCTCCCCTGCTCGCACTCTGTCTCTGTCTCTTCAAAAATAAATGTTTAAAAAACTTAAAAAAAAAAAAAA